AGTTTGTTTTACAGCATGAAATGTCTGAATGACTGCTCATCCAACACTGGTGATTCCATACTTTTTGCCAGGGGTTGTATGCACATTTCAGATTAGGAAAAAAAACAAAAAAACACTGGATCATGACTAGAGTTTTTAATGTCAACAGATGCTGCATTCCCAACAGTCAAATTTAGTCAAGTCAAGTTTATTTGTTTAGCACATTTCAGCAACAAGGCAGTTCAAAGTGACTTGCATGATAAAACAATTATGAAACAACCAGCAGACATTTTACTTTGTCAAATGCCATCACCAAAATCATCAAAAATAATCATCATCAACCATGCTGATCAACATTCCAGTTATTATTAATCAAAGGCAGCTCTACAGCAGCTGGATTTTTAGCATTTATTTAAAGGAACTCAGTGTTTCGGCTGTTTTCTGGAAGTTTGTCTTCCAGATTAGGGCTGGAAAACGTTGAGTGATTTATAAAGTAACAGAAGTATTTTAAAGTCTTTTCTCTGATGCAGAGCTGCAAACACTGAAGGACAAGCTTCAGGTAGTAGTCTGCTCTGCCTTTCTTCTTCTACCTGCTTCCTTTAATCACCTGCAAAGTTTATTGATTTTTAAAGCACTTCTTTCACTTGGATGGAATTTCCAAAGATATATGCAACCGTAACTATAAATTTAATAAAAATGAGTCCCTGTTTGACTTTAGTCTGCATATAACATAACATACTTTGCATAATATAATTCAGAAGCTTCTCTAATGCATTCTTATTTTAAATTCCTTCTGTATGGTATACTAGTTTATGTATATTTTTCCTTTTTATAGGTTTATTGTGCAACTGTTCCTGCTGTGTTATTTTGGGTCTTAACAGGGATAAAAACTAAAAAAGCGTGTCACAACAGGGTTCAAACATCAAGAGTCTGATTGTTTTCTTGTTCCAGAACAACCAGCAGCTGCAATGCAGTAAAAGTACTAAACAAATCTTTCCTACAAAGATTCATCTTCAGCATAACGTCTTGCCTTTAGCTAATGTTTTAGATCCATACCTTACATAGTTTATAAAGTGCATATATAAGACTCCCTTTTCAAGCATCTTTTAGGATCAACCAAGGAAAAGCCAGTGGGAAACAACCATTTTACACAGAGCTTGTGTTTACCCTGGCATCACCAGGAGAATGCAATTAAGGTGGAAGCTTTTCGGTTTGCTTTCACTTTTCAACAGACATCATCAGCGATGTCAAATATGCCTTGGGGACACGTGGAAAGAGTTTACCCATCAGAGGAACAAGACATGGAATTAACTGCACAAGCTCTTCTATGAAAATGTTTCTGTGTAAACTATTATGAGTTAAATAGGTATGGAAATAGGCATTTTTCCTCAGTAAATATATTAGTAATATTTGTATTGACATATTTCAGCCTTTGTTTAGTTATATGAAATCTGCCATTCAATAACATTCCCACCTGCAAACTGGGGAAGTGAACATAATCTATCTTCCTCCAAACATTGTGCAATGATATCCAAGGCTTTACACATGTTTTCTTCAGCAGTGGAGTTTTGTGCAGTGTGTGTGTGAGTGTGTGTATCATTATTTCCAACTGTATTAGCCATTTCCAAGTCTTTGTTGACCTCTCTGTGTGTGCTCATTGACTATCGGATTACAATTTGAACCATTATTTTTTATTCATCTGTCAGAAATCTTAGATGATTTCTTTCTCTTTTTTTCTTTTTTAAAGATATTTTTTGGCTCTAGTGGCCTTTATTTGATAGTCAATTGACAGGAAAGTGGGTAATGAGGGAAGGGGGAAGACATGCAGCAAAGGTCGCCAAGGCCGGGAATCAAACCTGCGACAGCCGCGTCGAGGACTAAGGCCTCCATATGTGGGCTGTGCTCAATCCCTGCGCCACCACAGCACAACCCTTAGACGATTTCTGAGCAAGGTGAAATATTCTTTCCACTTTCAGACTCCAATGTTGCACAATGGAAAATTTATGGGATAAGCTATCGTAAGTAGCTAATCCCATGGATTACTGTTTACTAACAGTAATCATGGATTACTGTTTAGTAATCCATGGCAAAATCCATACAAAAGTAAAATTTTCTTTGCTTTTCTATGCAATACTTTAGTAATGGGAAACCTTTAGGTCATCAATTAATGCTAAACCAGCTAAATTGCACATAGCAGGAGATATACTTTCTAAATAATTACTTTACGTATTTAGAAAGTATATCTTATTTATCTGATTTTAGCTGGTTTCTTAGTTTTCTATGTCTACATGAGTTCAAAACTTATTCCAACTCATTTCATTGTCTAATTTGTTTTGATGTTTTTGTATGTTCTTATATATCTTTCATGCCAGAATGGAGCCAATTAAAATTCAGGTGTCAAATATTTCTATTTTTAGATTTACATCTCAGTTGAGGGGTTTTCTCAGTGTTCAGTAACTTCCACATGAAGCTAAGAAGGAAAAAAACACATCTATTCAGAGTGGCGCCCCTGGCTTGGCAGGACACCTCAGCACACTAATAGCATCTGCTGCTAAGAGACCTGTGAGGAATCATCAGACCGCTGCTCAAGTGAACACCTTGGTATGTTTCACACCTTTCATGGGCGGCTTGCTGCAAGGTGACAGGCTGCATTTCAACCAATTCAAACACGAGTTCAGCAAGAGGATGTGACAAAAACTGGGAGTAATTGAGCTAAATATATATAAGCTGTCATGATTTAAAATATTGCAAAATGAGTTGACAAGGTGGCATGATCTGCCTGCCACAGGCAAAAACATAATCAACTGTTGAATGTATTAAATGATAATTAGGTCCAAGCAGCAAAAGTACTGCGAAGGCCTATTGAAATCGTAATGTTTACTTAGCTTATTCTGCCTTTAGCTCAGCTTTTACTTCTAGTGTTTACAATTTTAAAAGGGAACCCATTAAGCAAAATTTAAATTTTTTACATTTTTGTACTTCTATTTGGGTCTCGACTGCTTCTAAAAAACCCCCCAAAAAAATACCCAGCTGTTTTTTGGAAACAAGTTTTTTGGTTTCTGGAAAAAAAGTAGTTTCAAAAACCTTTAGAATGTAACATCACAAATCTACAGGCACTGCCCCGTTACCTAGCAACCCCACCAGAGCCCAGACCGTTACCTAGCAACCCCACCAGAGTCCAGCCCGTTACCTAGAAACCAGAACTCCTCAAGTTTTGGGTTCAAATTCACTAAATAAATACTGCTATTACATTCTAGGCAATAAAATGTTTCCTTTCTTATTTAAGAAAGGAATAGGTTTGTTGTGCATTTGCATCTTTTAATGCATTTCTAATATTGTATAAAAACACAAGTGGTTGAATAAAAAAAACAGTAGAATGTGAATTTTTTTTTATTTGATTAATCATCAGAATAATCGGCTGAGATGTAAAGTACTCACAAATTGTGCTCGAGTAAGCGAAGAACTACTTTAATATATTTTTACTGAAGTAAAAACGTATTTGGTAAAAAGTCAGCTTACGTACTGATCAAAACATTAATAATTTCATATTTAAAAATTACATAATTAGATGGACCAAAACATAAAAGTCATGTTGGTATTTTAAAGACTGAAATTAAAATAATTTATATAGTTACAAACTATCAAAATAACGCAAAACAAACATTTTTCAAAATCTATTTATTTCAAAGTAAAACTTATGAAACTAACAAAGTGTAGGTGTGTATCTGTGTCTGGTGAATTTTTGGTTAAAACATGTTTGTTTTTCATTCAGTTTTACTTCAGTAATAAAATTATGCAAGTAAATGTAAAAATATTCCTGAAAGTATTTTTTTCCCAAAATATTACTCAAGTGGATGTAACTGAGTAAATGTAACCAGTTACTACTGATACCAATTAGTGACATGATCCATGTTTCTGAGCAGTAATTTCCTACCTGGACATGGGAGGGTACAAGCTTCTTTCAGTATGATCTTCTTGTCTCCGTTGATGGCCAGCTCCAGGCTGCTGCACAGCTCCTCGTCCACCATGCTGCTCTCGCTGTCGCCGGACCCATCCGACACGAAGCAGGACAGGTTCCTGTAGCGAGTGCCGTGTCCGCACACCACACTCTGAGAAAAGACGAAAAACGCAGGAGGCGGTGAGTTACTACTGAGTAAAAGATTAGCACTAAAGATCTGGAGTGAGGGTAAAGATGGTTCAGGTGGAGGTTTATTTTTGTTCCAGCAGCTTCTCAGGAAGGACTGGTGCAATAAATCAATTAATTAAATGATGAATTAAAACAAGCTCAATAATTTCCATTTGCATGATTTATCGTTTTTCTCTTGTCTTTCTTAAAATCGGACGACAAAAGTCTAAAGTCTGGTGCTTTCAACATTTTTTGAATGATAATCTTGTTTACAGAGACTTCATAATTCATTTTATTTGTTGTTTTGTTTGTTTAGTATATTTAAAATGTCTTACAGTTCCAGTGTTAAATGTTCATTAAAATTTGAAGTTTATTGATCTTTTTTGTGTTTTTGAATTATTATGCCACCACCACAAAACTACTTGAAAATGGCCTCAATTGTTTATCACAGTAACTTCAGGGATAATTTATTGTCCAGAAAATGTTGTCATCGTGACAGGCCTTTTTTCCAAAAGAGTTTTTAGAAAGATTTATTTTATGGCCAACAAAACAAGTCTTTATTAGTTGTGTTTCTGGTAACTTTTGCCTATTTTCTTTCCCACTTTTGCAGCCAAACACAGGTGGCAAACATCTGGACTTAGCTGAGCTTTACAACTATTTCACTACACAAACTGGCAACTGTTATTTAAATACTCAGTTATAAATTGCCAAGCAAAAGTATCCATATTCACTGATCTTTAACCCTTTTTATCTTGCAGTAAAATCACAAACTAAACTGTATGTCTGACTTTGATTGTGCCATGCTAGAATGTGAAAATAGTTTGATCTGAAACCATTCTTCTAGCTCCATGTTTTGGGTAATGTTCCTCTTTGACGGTGACATTTTCCCCCAATGTTTCTCTTTACCAGTAGTTTCAAGACTGAATGACAGCAAAAGATTTTTCTTTAAACTTTGCTTTTTTCTCTCTCCAATCCATTAAAGTTGCTAAAATAAAAGTCCCATTCAATCCAATCTCTAAAACATGAAGGATGCTGTTGAAACACAAAATCTTACCAAGTATTTTTGGTTTAGTTTCTAATGCAAATATCTTAATTCACTTTAAATACAATAACTTAAAGGAACTTTGCAACAAGCTATAGGAGTTTGTTTTATGTCAATAATTCCTTAAAATTTATGATAAATAGTAGTTCCAATTTAACTAGTACTTTTTCATCCATATTAAAGAATTATTGACATAAAACAAACTCCTGTATATTGCTGGAAAGTTATTTTTGTCTTTATTCAAGTGTACTAAGACCCTTGCACCGTAAGTCAGGGCAAAAACACTTAGTGAGATTGAGTTTTGCAGTGCAGAGGGTCAGAGTTTGAAACAGCTCATCTAATAACAGAAATGACCGTATTTACCTGCTTATAAAACACAACAGAAGACTTTATTCTACTAAGCTTAAGGCACACAGCTCATTTTCCTTGGCAAAGTTATAGGTTATTACTAATGTGTCAGCATTAAATATGCATTAGATTGATTTCTACTGTCCATCTAGCAGAATAACAGTATGAGCAGGAATATGATGAGGTCGTCCATCAATACTAAAGACCATTATTTTTTGAGGATCGCCCTTTTGGCTCCAGCCCTCCTGCTTATTGATCTCAGAGAACAGTCAGAGTTGCATTCCTTGCTGCTGCCAGAGGTCGATGCACTTACTAATATTTAATGTCAGTGGATTTCGGTAGGTTGCAAATGATTTATTGACGTACCTCGACCCGACACTCCGACCAGGGGCTGTACTGCCACTGGTAGCAGGGTCGAACCGGGCAGGGTTTCCACTGCTCCATCTGGGCCGGACACGGCCGGCCGTCGCCCTGCGAGGCCTGAACCACCGTGCGCTGCCTCTGCATCTTACCTGGAACAACAACAACGTTTTCTTTTTTTATACTGCAAAAACAAAATCTTACCAGGAATTTTTGGTCTAATTTCTACTGAAAAACTAACTTACAAATAATTTTTCAGTAAGATATAGGAACTTGTTTAAAGTAAATTATTCCTAATGTTTGATTTTAAAAAGTACTTGTTCTGCAGGCAGATTATTTCATTTGTATCAAGACATTTGTGCTGTCTGAGTATTAAGTGTGATGTACTGGTGCAGAGTTATCAAATAAATTTGTAATTCAGTATATGTCTGTGTTTTCTAAAAAGGAAACGTTTTAAGTCAATTCAGGTATTTCTTCTGTACCTGATTGGTATTTAACTTCAAATGTCTGAATCAGAAGTGAAAAAGTAGATTGGTGCCAGGTGCGGAGCTATTGGGGGACCAGGGGGGGGCGTCTGCCCCCCGGCCCAGGCCCGGATGGCTGCCCATGGGGGCCCAGGTCTGGAGGTGCCAGGGAGGGAGGAATGGTTTCAAGTCGCTTTAATGTCCGATTATAGACAAAGAAAGTGCGCCCTCGCCTGTTCAGAAAGGTGTATGTATTGTTAAAGTGACTGTTTCACTCACGGTTTAGCGAATGTTCTCCCCCCACCCCCATCAACAGTTTCCAGCAGCGCAGGTGATACACGTGAGTGGCCCAGTCATTGGTCCCGCCCCCCGGCCCGACGCCGACTTGTTCCGCTAGTGACTGATGCATCCCTAATTTTGTTTTATAGAATAGAATCTTTATTGTAATTGTAGCATGAAATTTGGGTGCAATTCTCCAGATATTGCACCCAAAAAATTATTATAAATAATTAATAATTACACAAAAAAAGATTATAAATAATTACTGATATTGTACTTGTCCCTTGATAAAATGTTAACTGAAAACTAAAATAGAAACAAAAAAGTGACAAGGTCAAATTGACCACTTAATATTTCAGGTGTAATGACGTATTTTGCATCAGAAACTAGACCAAAAATACTTGGTAAAATTGTGTTTTGCAGTGTATAGAAACCCTTTATATATTTCCAAGCAAATATTTTTTGTGTGCTTAAAAATGTCAATTATGCATAATTGAAGCACTCTGTTTTGAGCCCAATAAATTTAAGCAAGCAGCTTCAGACGCAGTAACCTTTGTGGTTTGCAGCACGGCAGTCATTCTTTCCCTTTGTAAACAACTCATTTTAAATGCATGTGTTTGTGTTGAATGTATTAAATTAATCTCACTGTGAACGACAGCACTTCACTTAATAGAGGGGGGGTTTTCTAAGTGACCTGCGATGCTACTCTTATGCTCTGATGTCTTGATTGGTTCTTGGTCAACCTCAGTGAAATGGCTTTTTTCCACATCAATCAGCGAACCCTGTCTGGGTAAATTTGATGCATCACGTATCCCGTTTGATCTGAGAGCAGAATGGATGTGAAGAATTAGCTGTAAGACTACACAGAACCCCCTTCTCTGACATTTCTGAATTCAGTCCTGCTGTGCTGTCTGTCTCCTTTAAACCACCCACTTGCAAAATTTCACAACCTTCTCTTTTGTTGCATATTCCACTTTTATTTCCACGCAGCCTTCCCAGCAATCCACTCACCCTGGAATGCACCTCTGCCTTCATGCACCACCTTTCAACACAACCCATCCTCTGCACACCACACACTGTCAGAGCTCATATCCGATTCCAACAAGAAAACCTCCCACACAGACTCAGAAACATCTTCAATCAGTGCCCCTTCCTGCTCACACTTCTTTCACCTTACACAAACGTTCAAATTTTTCAATGCAGGGATGCAAGTTATCAATTAATGAGTTGATCTAAAGTTGATTGAGTCTCCATCAAGCAACTGATTTTTCTCTTGTATTTTCTCTTTCCATAGCTGATTAAGAGATTTCATTAAATTAAAATTCATTAAATCGTTACACTATTTTGTGTCAGCTGTATTTAAACAGACTTAAAGCAGAAAATTGTGATTTTCTCACATTAAAATTACATATATTTATAAAATATAACAGAAATGAAACATCTTAAGTTGCTGAATAAAAAAAATAAAAGACAAAAAAGTAAAACGTTGTTCAGATGGTCATACATAAGTACGAACTGTGGTTTCCCTTGAATTAAAGATAAAACTTCGCAACATGAATCGCATTAACTCCCCACAGGTATCGAAATCAACCGTCCATATCGGCGCCATGTTGTTTTTTTTACTGTTAGCCTCCCCCCTTCGTAGCACTTCTGTACTTTTTGAATGAGACGTTGACGCTACTCCGTCATTCAGTTCGGTTAAAAGAAGCGCTATTAAATTGAAACTTAAAACGTTTGAGTGTTTATATCTCGAAACAGACCCGCGTTAAGTGCATTTTTCTACTCACACCGGACTCTTCTTGGACCGTTCCTTTCTACTGTTGTGGGACAGCCGCCATCTTTAATTTCTGCATCAACGGCTCTGGGTTACGGACGCCCTCTGCTGGATGGGGGTCAAACTACAGCACTAAAATAAGGTCCAAGTCTCTAAGCGGATTTTTTTAGTTGATCAATTTGAACTAATTTTAATCTAACAAACCATGAATCGTAATTGTAAGTAAATTAACTGTTTGCATCCATATTTCCATATGATTCGTACATCTCCAAGGAGTGCAAAAAATGCAAAAGAAAGATGTGATGAGAACCAGAAAACAGGAGGAAAAATGAACCTCCAGTCATTGATGCAGAACTGCTTTCTCCTAAAGCTACCTCCTTTTATTTATTTATTTTGCTGATGAAAATTCATGACAAATTTCCTCAATGTTAAATGTTTTCCTGAGCTGGATTCTAAAAAAATAACCAGGATTTGTTTGGAAGAAGCAGATTTATATAAGCAGTCTGATTTTACGAAACAAAGATGAATAAAGATGATTGTTTAATAATAAATGTTACCCTCCAGCCCACAGGTTTGCGAACATTCGGACCAGACCGACCACTCTGACAGCTGGCAGTTGACGGGACACTCGACGGTGCACGAGACATTCATCTGCCAGTTCTTCTCCAAACTCAGCTGAAACAGAAATTATAAATGCAAAAGATGATAAATCATTTAAATAAAAGTCACATCACGGTTGTCAGCAAGCAGAAGTATCTGTTATAACCAAGCAGATGTTAGAGGTGAAAGTTTTCATTCTGACACAAAGCATTATGCTAAAAATGAGCAAAGAGGTGAAAAGGTGTGGTGACAGTCTTCTGGCTAGAAGCTGAGAAGCACTTAAAACCAAAATAAATCCCTCAGCTTTAACCCACAGCAACCTCAGGATGAGAAACTGAATACTTCACGATGAAATATTCAGGCCTAATAAATTGTGATTTGTGATATGGAGAAAATTACTGCCTGGCTCACCTCCTCGCAGAATTTAATATCTACAGATTTGCCGTCACTGCGAACGCAGTCGAGCATCCGGGTCTTGATGCCGCTTCCACAAACGGCGTTGGGGCTCAGCTGACAAGTGCTCCAGTCTGGAGAACATAAAAAGGTTTCTGGCATCAGATAAACCACGACACAATGCAGGAATACTCACATCAGAGCTAAACCTCAAAGATTAAATTAAATAAAAATTAAAAAGATTTTATGTTGGTGAAATAAAATCTGCTCAGAAGAAATTTGGGAATCCAATTAAAAGTTTCTAATCTTTAAATAATGTCTACTGATTGATAATACTCTCATCATAGCTAATAGATACGGATCATACAAAAATCCCAAGGCAATTTTCTTTTTAATATTAAAAACTGGTGTTGTGCTTCCATAATCATGTCTGTGATCCGAGTCAAATCTCTGTTAAATCATTTTTTCATTTTCCATTCTTACTTTAATGTTTTTATTATTCACACAGAGTAAGATTTAACCGAGAAGATACATCCGCTGTTGATAGTTTTTATGCTTTAAATCTGGGCCTCCAACTTTTTTAGTTTATTTTTAGTTTAACTGCTGATAAGATTCTTTTGGCTTTACTCCACACAAGGAGAAAAACATGTTTTTCTTTTCGCTGCATTTCTCTTTAGTCCTTCCCACACACACTTTTTGTGCCAAAAAAGACTTGGATGGCAGCAGAAGTACTCTCAAAAAATAAATACAATCTTTTTTTTTTTTTTTTACAAGAACAGAGATGCCACAGTGACCCATTTTCCAGCTGTGTGTTCAGCCAAGCCAAAGTGTTGTGCTATGAGAAGAAATAAACATTTTATTGTTCTTTTAAATCTGTCAAAATACAACACAGTATGGTTGCATCAAGTCTTCCCAACATCTTTTAAAATTTTTATAATTATTTTGCAGACAGAAACTGGAAATATCTTTTATTTTTGTGGAGCCCAGAAATTACAAACATATTTTAAATTCAACAAGCAAATCAACCACTAGCCCAGGAAAGGTGTTCAAGCTGGTTCTCAAACAAAAACCAGGATGGTTTTCAACAGCCAGACTTATTTACAAATAAATATAAAACACCTTTATTCTTGTATCCTTCATATCAGTTTTTGGTTCCCTTCTAGATTTCATGTGAAACCAGTTGACCAAACTTGCTGGAGCTACGTTCGGGTTGCTAGATAACGGGTGGAACTCTGCTGGGGTTGCTAGGTTACGGAGCTGTTTTGTTTTTTCAAACAACTCACTAACAGTGTCATAGAAACATTAACTTATTGCCAGAAAACGACTAGAAGTTTTTCTTTAAGTGCCTGTGCTGTTTTTAGAAGCAGTTGAAACCGAAATGGAAGTACAAATGCGTTTATTCATCGTAGATTGTGCCGTACCAGATGCTAAGTCATCATCCAAATATGGAAATGCTTCCTGACTGACTGTCATGTAGCTCGTCTGAATTACGCGCTTAAAGTGAAGTGTTTATATCGAGTATATGTCGAGTGTTTATATTTCAAAACAGAAACGCATAAAATAAATTTTGGATCTCACACCAACACCGGACTCTGTGTTGACAATCTCTTTCTCCTCCTTCTTGGTTTTAATGACGGGTGACATCTAAAGTTAAGATGCATTATCGCCATCTACTGGGCTGGAGTGTGGACCAGAGTATATTTATTTTTAACCAACATAATCCCGTTTCCTTTAAAAATTAACAACTGCTTTATTTATCTTGTTGTGTTTAACTAATATCTTATTCATCTTAAAGTCTCCACATCATATTTCCTAAATTCGTATTTTAATTTTTCTCTACTTGCCCTAATCTTTTCACAATGAATTGTTACATGTTCTACAGTCTCCATGTCCATACCACACTCGCATCTAACTGTTGGATGTTTACGTATCAAATATAAACTTAAAGTTAATCCGTTATGTCCGAGCCGTAACCTGTCTTGCTCTGGTATAGCCGCCATCTTTAATTCTGTGTCTGCCTCCGCTTCAGAATGACCAATGGCGCCCTCTTCTGGTTGGTGGCCAAACTACAACAGTGAAAGACGTTCGAAGATTATTATTTTCTCAGGTTCTAATAAAATTGGGCGATTCTTTTGATTATTTAAGTAGCAGAAAACATGTCGCTGTATAAGCCATTTATCCTTTTTGGCATTCATATCTCACACTGCTTGGATGTATTTCACGTTTTCGTACAACTGTCACACAGAAGCTTTTTAAAAGCACACAGATTTAGCAAGAAGAGTAAACACGTATTAGCATTCAGCAGGTTGCCACTGTTGATTTTACCTCCCAACGTGCATGCAGAGATGAAAAGCAGGTGACGGGGAGTCAAGATATACAGTTCATTATAATCCTCACAATTTATTTCCTTTTGTACAACCACACAATGGAAACGTAATGAAGCACTCAAGCTGTGACTAAGCTGTAACCTTTCAGTTTTTATTCAAAAGAATGTTTTATTCAAAACTGTTTTCAGTATTTATTCAAATGGTTTAACAAAAAATATTCCTCAGCAGCGATCACATGAATAAGCCGGCAGCTAAGTTATGTTTAATTGATAAAGAAGAAAAGGAAATGGTACGATTTAAAGTATACCACATCATCTATCCAGCAGTGTAGAATCAAAGAAACGGCTGGCATTTACTGATGCTGCGCGTTCTGACAGAAGCTGCAGGGTTTTTTTCTTCGCTGACATTTAGAGAGCTATACTTTCTCCTCAGACTCAGTCAAATCCTGCACTAGTGACAGGGAAGATCTTCCCAGGACAGAGGGATAATAACTCAAAGCACTCAGCAAATCCAACCTAAAAGCTCAGGAGGATCCATCTGCAGCTGAGACTCCAAGTTACGCCCACTTACTATCTAAACTCTGAAGGAGCCGAAAACCCTCTGAGGACGCACGTTCATTTGTATCAAATCTAGCTCAAGTAGCTCTTATGAATTGGAAAAAAAGTCTTTAGAGGACCAGCTCTGAAGGCTTTGGATAATGACATAAAAACATGAAATTGATACCACTTTAGACAATCAAACGGTTTCAAATTAAGTTGGTTCTGTGTCCTGGAGACTCTAGGAATGTTACATTTTGCAAGTAGTTCTTCTGTGTAGGAGAAAAATGAAACAAAAATCAATCAAACATGAGTCATCACTGCTTTTTTGTTCTAGTTTTGCTTTGTACACAAATGTATAAAGTCAATGTTACTAAATCACACTTTAATAGTGCACCAAGATATTTGCACTAGAAACTAGATAAATACTTGGTAAGATTTTGTGTTTTTGCAGTGATACTCTGATTTTTCTGTGGCGGCTAACAATAAATAGTGGAAATTTTGCTTACTTGCAAATTTTTTATAGACGATATTTAAAATATTTGAAGGAAAATGCAGCTTTAGAAGCTCAAATACCTCAATGCACTGGACACACAACCCACTGAGAGCATTATTGCATTTTAAATTAAATTTGCTGTTTTACCTATTAAAATAGACAGTTATTGATCTTTTTAGAGTGAGTCTGAATCATTTGTGGCTTTCAGCTTTTAGGGGATCAACTGTACGATCCAATAAACAGAAACAGAAAGACTTGGCAGCAAAAAGCTCCTCCTTTCTAAGAAGAATATTGCAGGTTTCTGGAACAATGCGGATCAGACTGTGGTCATAATGTAGAACAAAATGTCTGGAAAAGAACCAAGCATCATGCCAACACAAACATGTCACCCTATTGTCAAACTCACAGGTGGACGTTTGATGATTTGGGTTTCTTTTCAGCCACAGGACCAGAACCAAACTGCACTTATTAAGCTGCCAAGAACTAAAGTACCAAAGTGGTGTAACCGTTTAAACATGAGGCCATCTGTCTGCGGCTGAAGTTGGGCTCTCATCAGAACAACAAACACAGGAGGAAACTACAGCAGAACGGCTGGAAAATAAACAAATCAAGGTCTTTCAAAAGCCTAAAATTTAATTAAAATCAATTTTCAAAGATTGAAAAAGTAATTCAGGAAATTACTGCATCAACTTATTGTAAGTAGCTTTACCACCAACTGAGTGAACGTATCTTTCCTTAGAAACTTTTTCCCCATGACGGTACATATAACGTTTTAAGTATTAAGACAGATGAAATTATCTTCTTTCAGCTTGTCCTGTTATTTCTGGACTCTCTTCTTATTCTTCACTCTGGCACAAAACTTGCTGCGACTGCCAGTAATTTCAGTTGGACATCGGCAAGATATTTCTGACATAAATTACATTTTACAGTTCCTTTTCATCTAAAACCACTCAAATCAATAACCAGTTCCAATGAAAGTTGGTTGGGATTCTATTTCTGTCGTCAACACGACGGGTAAAAGAAACACTAAAAGAAAACCAAAAGTGTGGGATTGAAAGAAGTGGAAGATAAAACAGAGGTTTTTGTTCTCTGGCATCAGAAGAACAGGCAGTCAGAAATTGTCAGTTTCAAATAGCTGCTACCTGGTGGGCAGGAGAAATCAAAAAGTGCATGCTTGGTTTTTGGGAAAGATTTGGGGCTTAGTGGAAGTGAAGATAAGTTATAAAAATATCTATAAGTAGGAACCAACAAACACCTGAGGGCAGGAAAACATGTTCATTGATCTCAGACCTGAGGTTTGAAAACAACTACACTTTATCATATATGGGTTTGTGGAAAAGACGCATCGTACCAAACAGTTCATTTTACTGAACAGCAAACTGAATTATTGGTGAAAACCATATAAATATTGGCAAAATGTACAGACTAGGGTTACATAACATCAGGAAAACATATAATTGAGATATGACTATTGAATATGACGACTGATTCATCCTGACTATTTTCCCATTTTCCAATAACTATATTGACCAGCCTCTTTGTTAGATTCAGCATCTAAACCATTAAAAATATACAACATATTTGGTCATTAGAGTCTCCCCAGCAAGTCAAAAAATTATCATGCAGAATTTGAAAGCCTGACACTTGAAATATAACAGCTGATCAAATATGGCGCCCCAGCAGTCGTCTATGTTTGTGATATTGACACACTGACATCATGATGACAAACAAATTATTCTCTCTACGGACATTTTCAACAATATTGACCAATTCTCTACACTAGTCAGTGAAGAGATTAGTGTAGATACGCTAGACGTATCAATGTTAGGATACGTCTATTCACTGTACAAAACATGGTCATTACATTTTTTTGCACAAAATAATTCTTAGAAAATAAGACTTTAGTCTGGTCAGTTCTGTCTATTTTGAGCTGTTTCAGAGCATCTTGTCACTTAAATCCAAATAAGTTGCTTCTGGCCACGTCCCCAACTCAACATTTACACTCACACGTAAAAATGTCTACAAACAGATGCCCAACTGTACAATCGTACATATTTGAAAAGCAGAAGTGGAGCGTCCTGCGCAACCAACGAGAATGCAGCAAGTGGTTTCCGGATGGCAAGTCAACAATGAAACACTTGTTTTTCCAGTAGCCATTGTACAGAGCATACAGCAGTAAATCCAGCTGACCAAAAGTGCTGGAGCTCAGTTTGGGTTGCTAGGTGACAGGCAGGGCTTTGTTGGGGTTGCTAGGAAACAGCAAATGTGACTTAACAGCTGTGAGGTTTTTGAAACTGCTCATTTTCTAGACATCAAAAATATTAACTTATCGGCAAAAAAAAAAGAAAGTAAGAACTTGGGATGTTTTTAGAAGCAGCTGTGATCAAAATGGATGAATAAAAATGTGCAAAACGTGAATTTAGATCCTCTTTAAATGACTCTATACAGCACGTCTTTTTCTTGCACCCTATTCACGTTAATATAATGTGAATTAAGAATAAACTGATTAGACCAGACAGGCTGAAACAAACAGAAAGAGTAGATTCTATCATTTTGGTGTCAAGACAAATATAATTTTTATCCTTGTACTTCAAAATATAATGTGAATTCAATAAAAAAAGAATGCACAGCATTATGATTGTAAGAGTCCAAACTATAAATAATGCAAAGTGGGAAAGAACTGCAACATGTGTTATTTTAAAAAGACAACAACAAATGTTTGATTTTGATCCGTTCACCTTTGGAAAATCCCTGTGCAGGCAGCGAGTCCAGGCAACATCTAAGATATAAGAGCAGTACAACACCGGGGAAATGTAATTACAGGAAGTGCTGACACAGAAATCCTTGCACCATATAGGAACTGGATCTGGACGGATTTTAGGACATATATGTGATGCATATAAAATACCCACCTAAAGCAGACAAGTTGATTTCGCAGAGTGAAGCACAAAAATAACTTATCTCTCTCCTTTAGCACGTCAAAATGTTCTCATGTTGCAATCGCCCTGAAATGATCAGTGCTTCTTTTCTTTGAAGCTGAGCTTTATAAAGTATTTGGCTGCTGCTCAACGGCGATAACAAATGAACACTTTGTGTGCAATGAGGTTATTTAAGCCGTCTCCCTCAGAGCCAGCGAATGTGGCTGCTGTCTCTGTAATTTCTGCCAGCATCCAGGAGTTTCACCATATGGACGCATTTAGGTTCACACCTTTGAACAATACAGAACCAGGCTTTCCAGAAGCCAAACCTGCCCCCAAAAAAAGGAAATCAGTGATGAGAAATAGCATTTTACTCCCAAATCCGGGGTGCAGTTGCTTTCAAAACAACCTGGGTGTGTTGTAAAAAGCTTCTTTAACAACACAGGCTGAGGCATCGCTCATAAAATAAGCTAACAGAGACGACTGGCTGTTTTTAGCAGCAGAACGCTCGTTGGCAACTCGGGGAATTGCGCCTCCGTCTGCCGAACTGCCTTGTGTCACTCTGGGGACCGAGAATAAGGAGAATGAAGCGAGAAGAAGCGACAGTAAGGGAGGAAAAGCGGAGAAACGGTGAAGGATGGAGTGACTCGAGAAGAGAAGGATGTTTTACCCATAATAACCTCCTCCCATTCATTATGTACAGATACATGTGTTTCTCCGTGCAGGCAGCCAGGCGGATTATAAACGGATTGTAGTCTGGTTATATAAGAGACATGTATTAAGGATGAAATAAGGATCAGTGCTAACCTCAGCTTCTGTCCAGGTTTCTGAAAGTTGAGACATGAAGAAACGACGATGTGGGAGATCGACTCACTCCGAATTACAAAGACTTGCAGGAATTATTTAGTTTTAGGTAAATTAAATAGAAATATTCAGATTTTTTTTTACTGAAATTAATTAACTTTAAGCACAGGTTTTTTAATTTATTACAGGGCAGAAGTTTGACATTTGGTACTGTTTATACTGTTGTAATGTTATGACTTTGTACAGTGAAATGGTGACTTTTGATTAAATGTTTTATGATATTAAACTGCTTTATTAACTAGCTTAAGCTAAATTGTCTTTTTACACGCTGTCCCTGTTTTAAATATACTAATCTAAGCTGCACCACAGTGAACAACAGTCAAGTTTATTAATTAATCTCAACCTTAATATTTCTAGCTGAGTAGCTCTAAATCAAGATTTATTTAAAACCTATATTTTAAACATACCAATATTATTCAAGCTAAACTCTCCAGGGCGTTTTTTTGTGACAACAGAAATGGACGTAAAGTGGAAGGAAAATTATCTAAATTTATTTTGTCCACACCTGAATATCAGATGGGGGAAAATTAAAAACAGTTTCATTATTTACTGATTGCAAACTTTATTCGTCAGCGTTTGCCTCTGTGAATGGTTTGCATTGAATTGTTTAGCATGTATTTGCGGATACAGGCTGTCTCGGGAAACACCTGGCTCTTCACCTGTGATGTTGTAGAAGTAGTTGAAGCAGTTGAGGTTCAGACTGCACGGCTCTCTGTCGGACAGCTCCGGGCACTGCCGGCCCACGCCGGGGTACCGCAGGGCGTACGCCGTCCGCACGCGGCTGTTGTTCCTGCTGCAGGGCTGAAACGCACGGAAACGTAAAATGATGAAACAGAGAGCAACAAGAAATAAATCCAGTTGAGTCGCAGCGGCGAACTTAAATACACGATGTCCAAACAGTCTTCTGAACTCATTAGGGCACATTTGGGTCAACCGTTAGGAGCTCCTTATTAGCGCGTCCAAGCGTAAAGAAAGTCCATGAAACCGCCAATTTTGACCCTTTCTCCCTGTTCCAGGATGTGGAATTTTATTTTTTCCAGCGAGAATCACAGGGAAGCTGAGAAAGAGATTCTGCTCGGCCGGCGACCCATCAGATTCTCCGGGTTTGAAGAACGGAGAACAGTGGGAGAAAATGACAGCCTTCTGAACGGCTCCATTGCTGAAACGATGAATAAAACATGTGCGAAGCCCTGCTGGCGCCACTGCAGACTCCATGTCGAGAAGGGAATTGTGGGAAGATGGGGAGTCTTTTTGAGGGGGAAAGAATTGGTTGTGATTAACAACGGCCTGGTGAAACCAGTGAAACCAGTGAAGAGGATATGAAATATTAGAGAAACTAATGCATATCTGAAATAAGTCTGAGTAATTTAAGAAGGTACGGGTTAACGGCTGCATCCGTCACCATTTCCTTTATGGACGGCCATCATCAAAAACATCAACACACATCATATTTGTTGGTTATTTTGGCTCTAAATCAACTATGAACTGCTGGGATTTTAGTCTTGATTTAAAGGAACTTAGCGTTTTGGCTGTTTTGCAGTTTTCTTGAAGATTGTTCCAGATTTGAGCTGCATAGAAGCTGAAAGCTGCTCCTCCATGATCTCTGCTTTGTTTCATTCTGCTTATTTCAATAAAGCCCTCTAACAGCAAATTTGAGCAGAAGTAGTTTCCAAACAGAATAAGTTATTTAACATATCTGTGGCAGTCTGCCAAATCAGGCGCATTATTCCCAGCTTACATATGCAGGTGTGTGTGCATCATTAAATGCGAGCTGGAGACCTGCTCCGACGTTGTGAGTCTTTATCATAAATCATCGCCGTCCCCTGCTGAACGCGCGGTGAGCACAGTGTAATATAGGTGATGTATAAGCCACTTTGTCTTGCTTCCCCACTTCATGGATCTACTTTATTCCTCCTCCATGTACCAGAAATAACCTGTTGACAAAGATTCACACACTGCTCACGATAATACAGTGCAGCTAAGCTTTGTGTCCTCTCGGCCTGACGGAAAATACTTGTGACAAGAAAAAGATATCAAGATATATCTCAGTGGGCTTGTCAGAGTCGGCGCCTCTGCTAGTGAAGAGTTTAGGGTTGGGAATCAAGAACCGGTTCTCAGGAGTTCAAATACTTGGAATCGTTTTTGGTTCCAAGATGGCGTCGCGGCACAAACGCTCCAAAACATATTTATATTTAACAAAGAAAGACGGTGGTAACATATTCAGAACTTTAATCACAATTAACTGAGGTGGGTAGAGCACATAATATTTTACTAATGTAAAATATTACATTAGTAATATTACTTTAACATATTTTTACTCAAGTAAAAGTAAAAAAGTAGTAGTAGTAGTAGTAGTTTTTATATTAACATATCTGCATGTTTGGTTTTATTTATTTATATTCAGTCATACTGAATTACTTACATTACTCTTAGGTTTACATATTTTATAAATTGTATCTCTTTTGGTTGTATTTGTATTATTAATATTTAACACCTTAGATGGAGTAGCTTGTCAGCGAATAAGCAATTCCACCATTGAGCTCAATAAAGTCTATTATTTCAAGAAATTACTCAAGTAAGAGTAAAAAAGTATTTGGTAAAAAGTTTACTCAAGTAACTGATCAAATTATCATTTAATATTTAAAATTACGTCATCAGATGGAGCAAAATATAAAGTGGAAAATTGAAAATGACAAGAATTCATAGAAGTAACAAAAAAATAACGAAATCAGACAAAACAATTGTTTGTTTCCAAATCAGCTTCTTTCAATAAAAAAAACTTATGAAACTTTAACAGGAACTGCAGGAGTGTCTCTGTGTCTGGAGGATGTTTGGTTAAAACATGTTTGTTTTTCATTCAGTGGGTAGAAAATCCAGAAATTTTACTCAGAGATGAAATACTTCATAATAAAATTACTCAAGCAAACGTAAAAAGTACAACACAGTAAAAAATATTTTAAATGTTTTTTTCCCAAAAAAGTTACTCAAGTAAATGAATTGTAAATGTAATGAGCTACTACCAAACTCTGCCTAAAACATCCTCAATACAACTGATTGGTACAAATGTAAAGCTTTGATATGTTGCTTAGCAACCGTGGTGACTCAAGGGGGCGGAGCTTCCAGCTTCACTTCCTGGTTACTGCGTTAACATTAGCGCCATACTGCATAAATAATCTCCAACATTTACAGGCACAGTCAATAAATTAGAATATATTTTATGACAAGGATCATTTCCTTTAGGAAATCCATTTCATGTTAAAATGATGATTTGACAGAGGGACACAAGTTTTAATTTTGTTTGAATCAAATACAACATGGTTAATATTTTTTTAATTAGAGTTTATTTCCTAAATCATTGTGAATCTATAATGACTCGATAAATTCTTATCCTTTCTGTTGCTAGCGGAGACGCCGCCCTGCCTCCGTCGCTAGCGGAGACGCCGCCCTGCCTCCGTCGCCCTGCCTCCGTCGCTAGCGGAGACGCCGCCCTGCCTCCGTCGCTAGCTGAGACGCCGCCCTGCCTCCGTCGCTAGCGGAGACGCCGCCCTGCGCTGGGTTTGCTCACCATGCTGCAGCGGCTCCAAGCGCCCCAGTCGTTCAGGACGCAGTCCTCCGGACATGGCAGCCGGCTCTCCCTGGCTCCCAGTGGCATCTCCTCCGGGTCGCACAGGTAATCCTCCACGGCCTCCGACGGGCCGTCCACCGTGTTCAGCATGCACCTGGAAACCAGCTCAACCCGTCAGGAAAACCTTCTATATTCCATCAGGACAGTAAACGCTAAACCTCGTAACTAAATATCAGTTTGTGTTTTAAAATCATATATCTGCTATCTGGTTTAAAATGTTATTGCTTAAATACATTGTTTTTTATGGACGATATGAAATTTCTTAAATTACTACTTGTTTTTACTTATTGTTATGTGATGTCTAAGTTTTTAGTTTCACTGGGGAAAATGTGAAACATCATTTTTATTCCTGGTACAATAAATAAATTTGATTAAAATTTTTTTTTACTCAAGTAAGAGTAAAAAACTACGTCAACATATTTTTACTCAGTTAAAGTAAAAACGTTGAAAGAAATTACTCGAGTAAAAAATAATTTGGTAAAATGTCATATAACTTATCAAAACATCAATCATTTAATACTTAAAAATTAAATATTAATTCTACAATTAATTAATTAAACATTAAATTATTTTAATGATTGATTTTAATTAATTTTGATCCATTATATTTTGACAGATCAAAATATAACCTTTTTTATTTTGGTAATCTAAGGAACAAAATGAAAATAATTCACATAAATAACAACAAAATAACAAAATCAGGAAAAAGAAAAATTCCAAATTAGTTATGAAACCTTATCAGAAGCTGCAGGTCTGTGTGTCTGGTGATTTAGTGGTTAAAACATGTTTGTTTTTCATTCAGTGGGTAGAAAATCCAGAAATTTTACTGAAGTATTATGAAAAATTACTTAATTATTATTAAAATTTCTCAAGTACAAAGTAATTTTTTTTCCAAAAAGTTACTCAGGTGTAAATGTAAGTAGTTGCAACCCCGCCCTGATTTTTATTTTATTTTTTTATTTGCTGCAGATACCTGACTTTCCGGGTCTGGACTCCCTCCCCACAGTTCTCCTTCAGATCCACGTTGCTGACTTTCCAAACGCTCCACGGCTCGGCGACCCAGACGTACTGACTGCAGTCGCTCTGGCACGGCACCACCTCATACACCTGAGAGCCAGGAAAACCTTTTACACCTTCATGCTGTTTATAAAACATCCGAGGGTAAAAACTGGACTTTATTTCTTTACACAGTTTGGTCTGGAGAGCAGCAGGTTTGTCTAACACGCAATGATAATTTGAATCAACTTTCTGAAATTTCGCTCCACTAACAGATTATTTATCCAGCTGGGGTGATTTAACACCTTGAAATTGGGTCTCTGTCTCTTTAAGAAGCTCCTGCCCTTTGTGAAACTCCGCCTTCAGGAAGTTATCACAGCATGGCTGCTCTATTAACCCTTAAAAGATGTTTTTTTTTTTTTACCAACGTTTCACTGAGAATCAGCTCCTGTAATGAGCTCAGCAGATGAACAGTTCCACCAGATGTTTGCTGATTGCTGCTGGCTAGTCTGAAGGAGCTGGAGAGGGCAGCTCTGAGAGGTGGAAGCTTGGAATCTGCAACTCTGAGGAGGAGCTGCGTCTTGGAGGCGGGGCTAGGTCCAATCAGGCGTTTTGGACGGCTGAATGGTTGCCATGGAGATTAAATGATTTCTCAAAGATGGATGAAAAAATCAAAGCAAAGCTCCAGGTCTGTTTTTATGAGGGAATAACATCATAACCTGATGTAAAGTTAAAAAAAGTCAATTAGTTTACATAATATGGCTCCTATTAATGTAAAATATACATATTTTTTGTATAGTTTTGGCTCAATTACCGCTGAGTATGTTTTTCTTTCAGCAATTTGCCTTTTATTTGAGTCTGTTAACAATAAATCGATCACTAAATTAGTTGACGATTAATCAGGATTAAACTGATTAATCTGTCAGTGACCTACTGATGTAGGTTCACATGCGAGACACAAGGCGAACAGAGCTGCTCTTACCTGGGCCTGAGGCAGGAAGTCACGTCCGACGGAGTTGTTGTGGATTAAGAAGAGACAGATGGATTAATGAGAGCGAGCTAACAGCTCATAAAGCGCAGAAGCCATGATTAATGCAACATTTCAGAGGACATAATCAGAAAAGCTCTTGGCATAAATACAGAGGCAAACTAAACAGACAAGCTGCGAGGACGGGATCAACACGGCTCTGGGAAGCAGAGTTTTATGTGTTTTATTTTTACAAATTTAAGGAATTCATAAGGAAACTCCATTAATGGAGCTTTAATATGTTACGGTTTCAGGGGATTCACAAAAATGGCAACAACTCAAATGAGATTCACCTTTCAGCATTGATCAATGATTTAACATTTAAAAATTACATCAAAATATAAAGATAAGTGGAAATTTTGGTACATAAAGGTAAAAAATGACAATAATCCATATAAGTAACAAAAAATAACAAATCAGACAAAATAATTTTTTTTCCAAATCAGTTTTTCTCAATACAAAGTTTCTGAAGCTTTAGCAGAAACTGCAGGTCTGTGTCTGGTGAACTTTTGGCTAAAACATGTTTGTTTTTCACTCGGTGGATAGAAAATCCAGACATTTTACTCAAGAGCAGAAATACTTCACAATAACATTTCTCAAGTAAAAGTAAAAAAGTAGTGAAAATACCCCTAAAAGTAATTTTCCAAAAAGTTACTGAAGTAAATGTAACTCGTAACATTTACTGACTTCCTGTCATTGCAGCACCGTTCGGAAATGATCAACATTTGACTTCTTGTCTCTGATGGTTTCCTTCTGCGCACCTGGTTGATGTGGTCCAGTTTCGGACACGGCCGGCCTCCGTTGTACGGTTTCTCCCGAAGCCACTTGGAGCGCACTTTCACTCCACTCCCACAGGACTTGCTGCAGCGGGACCAGTTGGACCACTCGCTGAGTTTACAGTCCGATGGGCAGGGGATTATGCACGCCTCCTCGATGTAACCTGACAGGCAGAAACAACAGAGGAGGGGCTTTAATTATACAGCAAGTGGGGCTCATCGCTTTTCTTTTTTAACAACTAGCTGCCAATTTTAGAAATTATTTAAATCTGACCTCAAATGTGCACAAACAGCATACTCTACATTATTAATAATTAAAAGAAAGATGAAGTGGAGTTAGTAAGGCTTTTTGTGACAAACATCCAACAACTTGTTAGTTGTAAAACATCCTGTAGCAACAGACAAACATGAATGTTTTTAACATATTTTATTGTTTTAAGTCAGGGATTCCCAAAGTGGGTCCTGGAGGGCCGGTGTTCTGTCAGATCAGCATACATTGTCAGATAGTCATACGCTTAGCTCAGACATGTATAGTAGTCATTACCATATGATTTTATTTAATCAGCAACATAGGATCATGACGTAGATCATCATACACTTTGTTATTAACAGTTATATGGCATCCTGACTTAGCGGTTAAGTAGGTTAATGAGTTTTACACGGGCGTGTGTTGTAGTTGACTGCAGGTGCAGCCAGACCTGCTTTAAATACACTTTGAAACCACGACAACGCATGTATATTTATCTAGTTATCATATTATGTCATATTATAAACAATTTAATGACTTATTTTCGTCATAGCTTGTTGCATATGCTGAACTGACAACTCCACTGACGGTCGGACTTCTTAATGCGCATGCGCGGGCATGCGTACTGACTGCATGTATGCTATCCTGACAGCGTATGGCTATCTGACAGAACACCGGCATCCTGCATGTTTTATTCTCTCCCTGGTTTAACGCACCTGGATCAAATGATGGCTCGTTAGAGGCCTAAGGAGAACATTGATATGCTGAAAAGATTGTTGCTACCATCAGGGAGAGATTAAAACATGCAGGATGCCGGCCCTCCAGGACCCACTTTGGGGATCCCTGGTCCAAGTGTTTCACGTACATCTAATAGTGCTGACTGGGACATGCTGATGACAATCTCTGTTTGTGTAGAAAGCTACCTATCTACCTTTATAGGTAGATAACTATCCTAGCAATAGGACAGGTAGCTTTCTAGCCATCCTAGACTGCTACCTATCCTAGCTACCTATCTAGGTAAATTTCTAGCTAGCTACCCTTCCAGCTACCCATCTAGATAGTTAAAGTTCTATGTAGCTTAAACCTAACTATCTAGCTTAATTTTTAGGTAGCTTACTTTCTAAAAAAATATTTGTCTCAATGCAAAGTTGAAAATGTCTTTGCAACTTTTCCCAGTGAGAAAGCTGACAGAATGTTTTCTTTTCAGATTTCGGCCGCACCTGCTGCTGATGAAATCAAAACAAAAAGAGCAAAGGTGTGCTAGGTTTGTCGCACGTAGCTGCCAGTTTTTGGCTTCAACAAATAACAGTGTGGAATGTGTTTCTTATTTTTCTATCACTGGTAAAGATTAGATCACTTTTACCAAGTCTTGTATTTTCTTTGTACCATGACTTTAAATCAAATCCATCTGTTTAAACTATTAACCTGAGCTCCGCGTTTTAATCTAAATCCACACTCTGATTTTCAGTCGGTAAAATAAAACTGCACTCAGAGGCCCAATTTATCATCAGTTACGTAAGTGTAACATTTCACTAAAGCAGTTGTTGTGTCTGGGAGAAGGCCTCATTATTTTAATCCACTGTTGCTGAGTTCACTGGGTTACAACACAGTTAATAGGTGCTGCTGTTTTTTGGAGCTTTTTCCACCCGCAGGCTTCAATTTTCTTTGTTTCCACCAGGAAGGACTTCAGAGAAATTTCCAAAAACAAATTATTCCCCTGAACCTTTAAACTTGTACGTCACGTCTCTGAAAATCCGTTTAGTGAAGAGACAATAATGCAGTTTTAGCTTATGTAACGGGTCTCTAATTTGGTTTGGTTTCATTAGGAAACTGATTATGTGAGGTGAGCAGGAAAATCATGTCCGTGTCTGCGTGTTCATCTACCTCCTTGGTTTATTATTTCTTGACAGATAAATAAAATAATTCTCTGTAACTTATGACAATTGGATCCTGGTTGATGTATTTGTAAGCTGTCTATTTTTCTAATTTTTTTTATAAATATGTCATGCTTTTCCACACAAACATCTCATTCTCAACTAATAATTTAATGATATTTCTCAGTAATTATGACATAAACATGTTTGGATAAAACACTCATGCATAATTCATTTTAGATTTCTGAAAAAAATAATATGACCAACAAAATAAAGCAAGAAATGCAGCATTTTTTATTTTTCCTATTTGATAATCTGAACAGATTTCTCACAGAGTTATCACACCTGTCTCATTAAAACATCTTCTAGGAAGAATACGGTCATCAACATGTCCGACTGTAGAGATGGAAAACAAAAGAGCTGCATTGCTAATTGCTGTGAATTTCCTGAACAAGCTTCCATTTGTGTCCCAGCAGACCAACAAGCGTCTCACTAAATCTGTCTTTTGACAGAGAGAGCGTCATTTATGTGCCTTCTGCAGTACAAACTGTACCTGAGCTGTAAAGAGCGACTTTCAGGCCACCAAACCACAACTTTCAGTTTGTAGAGGAAGACGCTGGAAAACACACTGTAAACTACACCTGCAGATGGCTTAAAAAACCCAGAATTAAGGTTTTGCTACGTCCCTGTCAAAGTCTGGGCTTAAATCTGATTGAGCTGTTACTCCACTCAGTATGCTAAACATGGAAAATATATAAAAAAACAGCTAAAATACACATTTTAGCTGTTAGTCTAACATTAGTGTAAAGACTATCACTAGCATGTTGTCATTTGGGTTGTCACCAATATTGACTCGCTCCATTCAGTATGCAAACAGTGTATGAGCTACATTAGCTGAAATGCTAAGGTTAGTGTTTATACTCAGGTTTTCTTTGCTTGGTATGATTAGTTTCATGATCTAAAATATGACAGAATGTAGAAGAGGTCTGAAGGTTTTCTTGCAGCACTGCCTGTTTTATGTCCACCTCAATGTTTCCGAATCCACTTCAGGACCTCTCACACTCTGCTGAGTTCAGCATGAACTCCATTTTGGCTCCTTCACCTCTGACCTTTAAGCACTTAAACATAGCCACTTTGTATCACCGACTCTGTCACTTGGAAGCTCAGGTTGTGCGAGTCCTGCAGCAGCTGAGCTTGCACTTCACTTTAACTGTAAGTGATGTGGCGGCCGGCGTCCTCAGGAAGGTTTTAGTCTCAGTCCAGGCAGGACTTGACTTTGGATGTCTTTAAAATCAATTTGCAGTCTGACACAAGTCCCTGATGTGGCTCCCAGGTGCACACGTCACACAGCTGCAGCAAACTTTCCTAACTGTCAGGAAACCAATTTTACCTGATAATGAGAGCAGCGCTTCCTGCCAATAGTCTTAAATGCTTTAATGGCATTCGGGATATGCAGAGAAGAGCCTTCAGGAAAGGAAAAGCTTTGTAGGAACAGCAAGAATTGCCTCCATTTTATACTGAATTACACAGAACAGCAGCTCAGATAGTTTTACAACAGTAACATGTTGGAAATTAAAACACTGCTAATTATCCCCCAAAAATGAATATTTTAAATATTTCCAAAAAGTCTTTAGCCTCCTTGGTATTTATTCTGGCCCTTCGGCTAAAATTGGTCCATAAAACCAACAAAGCAGAACTGAAACTGGTTGATTATTCAACATTGTTGACCTAATTATTACTAAAGAATCACAAAGTCTCCAAAGAGAGAATATGATTTTTTTCTTTCCTTCCAGTAAAAAAATAACCAGGTAAGTTTGGTTTATAAGACGGAATGAATACATGGAAAAGTTTAATTTCTAAAATACCAGAAATTTTAAATAAAATTTTGTTGGACTCTTCCAGAAAACTGGAAATTATTCGTCTTTCTGCAAGTGGATTTCTTCATTTTGTCCTAATATGTTTGTCTTACTGTCAAATGATGGCCAATAAGACAAACATCTAGTTTATTACTGTTGGTTTAACAAACTCTGGTGAGTCAAAGAGACTCAAAACTTGGCTTAAATGAAAGCCAAGAGGGTTTAATATGATACCAAATGATATATTATACATTTCTAACAAATATCCAAACCAGGAGCCTGAACCGGACGTACATCAGACTCAGAAAACAGAAATTGTCCAAAAGGGTTTTTAACTTCATGAACTTCATGAAATAAATGGACTATACATCTGGATATAATGTATCCAAGGGAACCAGCACTTTTTCATTAATACTGAGGAATTACTTACTTGAAACAAGCTCCATTATCTTGCTTAAAAGTTAGTTTTGTCTCATTTCAAGTGTAAAATTCTATTGGCAGTAGAAACTCAACTAAATGACTTGGTATGATTTTGTATTTTTGCAGTGTACTTGAATGGTTACATTGTCAATGTAAAGATTTTATTGTTATTTTGTCCCTCACTCTGAAATATTTATTCACTCTCCAAAAAGCAGCGTCCCAAACCTTGGATCAGCCGTTATCGCAATTTCCATTTTTCCGTTTTTGTCTGGTGGAATAAAGAGATCAGAGTCTCACAGTTTGTCTGATCTGGATCAGAACCGGCAGCATCGTGTCAGCCGCCGCGTCGAGGAGGGACCGCTCCTTTCTTCTTCTATCAAGTTTTCAAGTGGCGGCGGCTGAGATGGAGGGAGCGGCAGAACGAATAAAAGAGATTTAATGATAGCTTTGAGACTCACACGAGCGAACGCTTGCTCAACATGGTTTGGTTATTGTGAGCATCTTAAGGAACATTTCGTTGTCGGCGACGGTAATTATGTCCTGAAATGAACGCACTAACCAGGAGCCACACAGGTGTAAACATGCAGAGCAGTGTCCTGACGACGATGAGCCGCCGGCACACCCACGCTCAGATTAACCATCTGAATCCGTGACTCACACGAGGAAACTAAAACCCTGCTTATATACGCACAGCGCTGATGCGTTCGTTCAGCCGTCTTTCCATTTCACACCAATTTTTCCGGCGCGTTTCGGAGGCGAACATCTTTGCTTGAAGTCTCTGGATCCGAGATAAAACCGCCGTACAAGAGGACACAAGCGCTTCTGTCAGAAGAAGAAGCCTGCAAATTCTGAAATTTAGGATTTAAAGTAAGTCCCTGCTCATGTGAGCGAGAGGCTTCAAGTCCACAAACAAACGTCTCACTCTAGATGAACGTCAGAGAAAAGGGATTCTGCAGCGTTGGGTTTGCTATGATACATTTCACACCTTGAACTGAGAAGTGAAGGGAGAAAAGGAGTAAATTCAGATTTGATTTATGATTTATGTCACAGTACAGCTCAGGATTTTAATGCAGAATTGTTTGTGACACGCTGAAGATGCTGAAAATGGGATAAATTCTTCTATTAGTCGAGGTAAACATGAACTTTAACATTTAAATATGCTAACTGAACCCTTAGATCAGTTTATATCAATCATTTAAATCAAATGTCAAAATACTGGTATTGCTTAGATGTCATGTAGGGAAACATTTCCACCAAACACATCAATCTGAAGCGTAAAGAATAACTTATTATGTCGATAAATGGGGTGATTTTGGGGTGGAGTAGCTGTTTCTTCTTCATGCTGTTCACTGTGAATCAGCCGCCGTTAAAATGTTTAACAGTGTTTGATGTTCGTTAGTGGAAAAATAAACATTTAGTGTTGAAGAAATGCTGGAAGACTTCATGGGAATGAATTTAAACCAAGCAGTGAAAACTCTTCAGATTTGGATTCTGATGATCAGAACCGTCATGGCCGACAAGGTGACGCGCAGAACCACCAAGCTTAGAGATGCAATAAAAACACCAGTGTTTTTCATATTCTCTGTTAAATAAATGTTTCTAATTTTTGGTTTTTTTTGTAGAAAATTTTTCAACAAACACTTTATTTAACGTGACGTTAGTTTAAAAACGCGTTAGTTCTCCTCTCAAGCGAAGGTTTGCAGCCTCACCGTCTTTTATTACCTCTGATCCAACAGGCAGACAAAACTCAGCAACGTTTCAGTTACAGCAGCTACTTTGTGTTTCAATGCAATATTTACATTAAAACGGGAGATTTTTTTTCATTAGGTCACAAACTAACATTTTGAATATTTTCAAATATTTTAAAACTTAACAATAGAAATAACTATAAAAAAAATATCTAAGCCAATTTCCAAAAGAGTTTGTCATTTTCTTTCAAAGTTAATCAGCGTATCACCTTCTGGTGTTTTTATATAAACTGTGACATCTGTTAAGGATTTTTGACAAGTCTCATAACTTAAAAGTATTTGGTCAAACTTTTGTTTTCTCATGAATTTAGAAAGACATTTTAGATGTTTCTTTTTTTTTCAAACAAACTGATTCATCATGGACAAAGAAAATGGCTGCATTTTGATTTTTCCCATGACTTTACTAAAAGAGAAAAATTGAGAAAGACTGAAAGACATCTTTGAATGAGATTTATATGAAATATTCTGGAAAGATGTTGGGTTCAAGAGAACAAAACAAAATCAAGAACACTCGTTAACCTCTCGCATTATATAAAGTAAGTTTCAACATTTCTTTAATCGATAATAGATTAAAGTTAATGAGAAACATCAGCATGTCGACAAAGTGAAGGCTGAAGATGTGTTGATCCTAAATGATGAAACATTTTTACTATTTAGAAAAAGTCCTGATACAATCAGCCAGTATACAGGAGCATCTAAATAACCTAAAATGTTATTGAAATGTTAATTTATTCCAGTAATTCATAAATTCATTACATACAGAGTGAAACTAAAACTTTTATTGTAACGAATATTTTAAATGTTTAGTGTAAAAGTGGTCAAATTCAGACCAGGTTGCTTTAGAAACATTTACGAGACAGTTGTTCCAATATATCTGGGATCGGCTCAAATACTTAATAATTAATATTATTTTATAAATTTACTTGACTGAGACCCCAAACTACAACTAGCCATCATCAGATCTTCATATTCAGAAAATAAAACACCTTAAAATACGAGTATCCCTTATAAAAAACCCAGCAAAAGCCGCGTTGAACAAAAAGCATAACCCATCCATCATCACTCATCCCTGGCTAACTAAAACAATCAGACAAATGAACCAGAGTAAACAACACTCAATAAGAGAGGGGAGCAGGGCGAGGAGGTCGTAAAGCTGCAAACATGTTTCCAGTGAGAAAAAGCCTGTGGTGCCGTTATTCACTCCTATTAGAGAACAGAGACGCTTCAGGCTGTCGCCAGGCTTACAGTAAAACACCAGCAGCTTCTGCTAGCTTCCAGCTACAACACATGAACATCCACATTAGATTAACTCAAATTAAAAACAACCTTCTTTGTATTTTTAGCTACACTTTAATAAGTGACACTAGTGGTATTTTAGGCTTTATATACAGTATAAAAGAAGAACAAACACTTGAGTTTAATAAGTTTCAATTAGTCCAGTCAATGTGAGATTTATTGAGCCAACAATGGATCTGTAATGTTGGTACGTTACGCTGCAGTGAGCAGCTAGGAAAAGCTGTGATATTTGGGTTTTTGCCCAGTTGGACGGGTTGACAGAAAACCTAAACAACAACAAGCGAAAACAAGAGAAACTTCTGCTGCCTTAGGAGTGAGTTTTTTTAAGGAGGTATTGATCGGAAAGCAGAGAAGAGCAAAGAAAAGAGGTTCTGTGTCGAGTGAGCTACTGACTGTCGGGTCGGCTTGTGTTGAGAATGCAAAGGAAGTGACACTCGCAGTTTGTAAGTCTATTCCATACAAAGCAAGTTTTAGAAAGCCAGGAGTGAGTCTGTATTTCTGAGACCAGAGGGAGTTTTACTACACAGACCAGCGGGGTCCACTTTTTTTTGCTATGTCGGCAAAAATCGTCAAGTCAAAAGTACTTACAGGCCAGAAAATACAGAAAACGTGTAAAACCACAAAAAATTACAGGATGTTTTCTCCACTGCTCAACAATAAACAAAGCACACAAAAACTCTAATAATTTTGTTATTTATTTTAGGAAAGGGAAGTTTAAGATCCACAAAGGTTTTCAATTCTTTAGGGCTCGGATGGAAATATCAAGAGAAATGTTCTGCCTGTTTTAAGAGATAAAAACAGGATTTGTGTCACTCTCTCTTTAGAAATGCCAGCTTTTTCTCTCTTTAAATGTTTTTTACTCCACAACAAATGGAAAGGTCCAATCTAATTAGTGAATCCCTCTGATAAATTCTTCTAAACCAGAAGATGGAAAAATGAAGGTTCTTAAGTTAATATGTAATAATTGTAGAAGGATCCCTGCAGAGTTCAGTTTTGTAGCAGTGGGGGTAAACGTAGCTGCATTTATGTAAATAAACGTAGAGAACTTGATTGACGTCTTCAGTCAGAGGCTTCTTCAGATTTCCTGTAACACAGACTGCTACGAGAGATCTCTCCTGCCAACAGCCATCACCGTCTGAACTCTGAAGAATCTGAATTAATGAGTTACAGCGACATTTAATTTGTTTGATTCTGTGGATGTGGACTGGCTGGTTGACCTTTCATGACCTCTGGAAACATTTATTAATATCTTTAAAAAGCTAGCGGCACAAACTATTTTTTCTTCTTTTTGCTGCACAGATGCTTGATACTGATGTTGTTGAATTTGAAGAAGGTGGGCGGCCATCTTGTCTCGGGTCTGGTTTATCGTTGCACCCCAATCGTTGTGCCTGGTTCATGTCTGGCAGCGAGTTTTCTGCTTAATCGCCCAAAGCTAGTGGTGTTGACTTTAAATTTCTCCGACTACTTACTGCACAGTCTCTCATGTAACCAGAGTGACGAACTGAAGTGGCTCACCGTGGCTGTTGCAGCGTGAGGTCTCCACTAGCCGGCTGTCCTGGTCGTAGCACACCATGGCCTGGTAGCGGTAGCCCTGTCCGCACTCCTTGACGTCTCCCTGGACCTTCATTGCCGCGGTGCCATCGGCCCTCCCCCCCTCTGGCAGGATGCAGTCAGACCACTTCCCCACCGGCTGGGCGTTGTACTTGTCGCAGGGACAGTACTGCGTCTCGCTCAGAGGGTACATCTGCGTGTTTTTGCACTTGTCCTTCTTTTTGCTTCTCCCTGAAGAGTGAAGAGGGACAAGAGATTAGCAAAAAACATATTACAGTATTTGCTAACGTCAGTGTATCTTGGTTTAGGCTCCAGTATTAGATTATAAAATAATAAGGAAGACATTGAAGGAGAAATATTCAGCGAAATGTACATTTTGTACACTTTTGTACTTCCGTTTGGGTCCCAGCTGCTTCTAAAAACAAAGTGCTTATAAAAACCCACACAGCCGTTTTTTGGCAATAAGTTAATGACAATGACCCGTTTCTAAAAACGCCAGAATGTAACCGTAGCCCGTTGCCTACCCTAGCAACCTAATTCCCTCTGGATTTAATGTCCCTTTGGGATTGATAAATATTTTTGAAGCTGAGCTCCAGGACTCTCAGTCAGCTGGTTTTACCGCTGTATGAGCTGTACAATGGCTGCTGGAAAAGACGATGTTTAGTTGTTGACACATTATCTAAGAATGGTCTTGTGCGAAAAAAGACAAGACAAAGAAGAGCTGGAAGCAGATCGCACATGAACTAAAACAACCTGATGTTTGTCGTTACTTTAAATTCCTCCGTTCAGAGAAACTTTCTCACTCCAGCAGTCCATCATTAAGCAGCCATTTCACATGCAAATGAGGAGATGATTTGCTTTTTGACAACCTGAAATACCTTTACTTGCTTTGTTTTGTTTTTTTTTGCTGCTTAGAAAATCATTTTTATGTTTTCGCCTTGTTTATTTCCCCATCCGGAACAAAGTTGCTCCTTAATTGCATCGAAGCTGTATGCTGTAATTTGTCTGGAAACACCGCAACGACTGACAGGCAGGAGAAAAGCATACATTACGTTCCACATAATGATATTTTTTTCCTTTTGCCACCCACTTTATCAGCTCACTGCGACACGGTTGTGGGGAATTTGAAAAGATGAGGTTATATGAAATTCAATCTGGAACCAAAACCTGAAGGTTAATATTGAGTCTCTTAATGTTTTCCAAGTAATACAAGTTGTAGGTTTTGTAGAAAACGCAGAGGCTCCTAATCCGATTTCACAATGTTTTTATTTTCTGTTTGATCTCACAGATTGTCCACCTCACAGCGAGTAGAAACACTACAAAATGAGAATTAAAAATTAAATGGTGAATTAAATACATGGGGAGAATTTGAGCACAGACAAGCATCATGAGTGACATTATTACTCCTGATCCACCTGCTGTTTCTATGTCCTCAAACTGTCAATATTTTTGTTCTTTGTTCGTGAAATCAGATATGTGAGAAATTAAATCTCTCCTATTATTGCTGTCCATCTGCTTATGAAAGAAAACAATTTAAACTCTTCTCTCTTTGAAAGTTATCAACCTCTCCAAGTTTCTGTTTGCTGCTAAGTAAAGGTTTTGGATCAGCAAACCATCCTTGACCAGTTTTACTCAGGGTTTTTGTTTCCATTAAAAGGCTTTCCTGAGAGTCTCCAACAACGTTCTGATGCAGATTGATTCAGCTAAATGTTTGGTGATGCTTATTCTGGCCATAGCCTCATCTTTAGACACAGTCCACTGCTAGATCTGTTTGATAGGTTGATATCTGCTTTGAAGAGGCTCTCTTCATATTTGTCTGTCAGATCATTTTTTGAAGCTACATCAAAGCACAAATCTCCCCCTTGTCTGGGTCAATTTAGGGAACTGCAAGGTCCCATTTTGTGGCCTCTGTAGTTATTAAGCTGATCTATTATGCAACATTTTGCATGTTTTTGTTCTTCCATTTCGGTCTCTGCTGCTTCTAGAAACAACAAAAGAGATTAAAAAAAAAAAGACTTGAAAATCAAGTTAATGTTAAATTAATGAGCCGTTTCAAAAATCCTCAGAATGTAACGTCACAAATTAGCAGGCACTGCCCGTTACCTAGCAACCCCAGTGAAGCCCAGCCCGTTACCTAGCAACCCCAGTGAAGCCCAGCCCAACCCAAAGTCTTCCAGCTTGAAGACTTTGGGTTGGTAGAAAGAAGAGTAGAAAACTAAGAGTTTTCTACTCTTAATACTTCACAATTCACTGCACCATAACTGTGGTTTGATTTTTATAACTAGAAAGCTTCCAGACTCTGCTGAAGCTGATAAACAGTGTCAGATTCACTCTTTTCCTGCTGAGACGTCACTCTGAGTGGTACCTCACCGAGACTGACCTACAGAGAAAACGAGCGGCTTTGAGACGAGTTCACAGCAGCGCATTGTTCGAGCCGAATCCCCCAGTCCTCACCTATCAATGCCCTCTTTCTGGTGCGGACCCCCACACAGTCAGCTGTGCAGGACGAGAACTTGGACCAGTTGGTTAACTGGCAGTCATCCTGGCAGGGAAGCTGACAGCGCTGAGTGATGGTGGGCATGGCCTTGGCGGACTTCAGGCACTCGCTGATGGCGGCCTGCGTCCCGTCCAGCTGGCGGCAGGACACAGCTGGGACAATCAGAGGAGGTTGGGGAGAAAGAGAAAAAGTGCATAAATTAGGACATTAGTCTTTATTAGTGGTTTAAAAGACTGCTTGCCGGACATAAAAAGGTTGTTCAAGATCATGTTATGCAGTAGAATTTATTTTATTATTGAGCACAGTTAGCAGGAGCTCAGAGCAACTTCAGATCTAGCAAATAAAAAGGAGGAAAAGTTTGAGCTTAGTTGTGTTTTCACATCTGAAAGTCCAGCAGACTTGGTTTGTTTGGGGACCAAAACTGCAACATTCGTTACATTTTCAGCTGCTGTGGTTCGCATTCACACTGCACTGTGTCAAACGATCCAAACTAATTGAAAAACCTGTTCCCCTCCTCACCTGTGGTGGCGCTACACCAAGAACTACTGAGGGAAATCTGAAGAAGACCAGCACAACTTCCTTCTTCCAAAAATGTAAACAAATATTTGACCACAGCAATTTTGATCAAAATAGACCAAACTTTTCACCAAATTTATGAAATACTAGACTATTTGGTCTAGTATTTATATAGAATATAAATATAAAATATATAAAATATAAAATTTATATAAATTTTATAATATATTTTATATATTTATATAAAATATATTTATATAAATATAAATACTATATAAATATATATTTATATAGTATTTATATTTTTATTTATTTATATAGACCACAAATACTTGGTCCAAGTATTTTAGCTTAGTTTCAGTGCAAATATCTTAGCAAACTTGAAATAAGACAAAACTAAATTACAAGTAACTTTTTAGTAAGGGATAGAGGCTTGTTTAAGCAAATAATTCCTTAATATTGATTAAAAAGTTCTTGTTCTATTGGCAGATTATTTAACGTATAACAAGACATTTTCCCGTGTTACCAGTTAATTTATCAGCCAATAGAATGTTTTTTTATCAATACTAAGGAATTATTTACTTAAAACAAGCTTCTACACCAAATTACTTGGTAAGATTTTGTGTTTTTGCAGTGCACAGCTCCCCAAACTAAACAGGACTGGTGTGAATAAACCCTAAAACTAGAAAAACAGAGCGCATCTCCCCAGCTTCAACATCGTTTCACAGGCCGGATTTTAAAATACTTTTAGTTTATGAATCACCAAAGCGCTTGCAGAGAAGCGGACGCTCTCCATGCAGCAAGAGGTGCAGTGCTCATCCCTCTGGTGATTTGATTAAAAGTGTCACACATATTCCATTAACACCTTGGAAAATTGTGTCACCTTATGAAAATTGGTTTAATAAATCTCATTTAAAGAACGCCTGAACAAAAAATAAACCCGAGCTGCAAATTCAGATTGGATCTCACGGGAGGTTTAAAAACAATTACGAAAGGAGGCAGACACAAATGCGTCCACGCTTCGATTGGCTTAAAACGCCACAAGTCAATTAGCTTTTAGCTGCATCCTCCTGCTCTTTGTTCCTTCAATAAAGGGAATTGCAAGTGGTGCTGCAGTATTTCATTTTCCTGTGACGCAGACGTTCTGCAGGGCTGTACCTTTATGGAGAAATCAATCTCTGAGCACATTTTGGTCAAACCCCCGTGGGCGCTGCTCTTGGTTCGGAAAGCCTCTGTCTATCGGCGTGTGAGGTCACGTCTTATTGTTTGTGGCTTTGTGTGTTTAATGGAGCCTCTGCTGTGTCTTTCTGCCTTTAAGGTGAGAGTCTCCAAAGGTAAATATCAGGATGTAAGAGTTTCTCCTTTGATCCGAGTCAATAACAAACAAACGTGACAAAGTGTCACAAGATATAAAATTAGGGATATTGAAGTTTTGCTTTTACTGTACGGTATTTTATTCTTTAGTCTGTCCCATTT